TTGGTACCCCTATCAAAGGTTTGTACACAAACCACATTGTGAGATTGGGCGGTCTCGTATACTTCCGCTTTGATTGCTTGTATTACATCAGTATGCATTAGTATACATTAGTATATTGATCAATCGATGTCAATCGATTGCTTGTAGGCTACAAAAATTGCACTTCAGTTAACGCTTTTGTTCAAAATCAGGTAGACGTTCTGATAATAATCTCCCTCTTTGTGGCTTTATAAGTAAAAAATGTTTAGACTTTAGAATCTCTTTGTTTGGCATTTGATCTTTTCTTCGTCAAGTTCGTCTTCTAGGTGAAATATTTCATTGACATTGTTTTGATCCATTTTTACGGGGGAAAAAAAAGTTCGAGAGTTTAGATAAAAGGGACTCCACTACGCAATTCTCTTGACATACCTATTCTCTTTGTCTATAACAGCAAATAGTACATATTTACCGTGAAGCAAATAATTGTTTAACTATGTAATAAATCAAGATTTTGGTGACGGTTCTGATTTGTTAGAACGTACGATGTAGGTTGCTACTTAAATCCTTGGAACATTTATATATAACATAACATTTACGATAGCCTAGCCCGCATATAGCCATATAGGTACTAATTCCGCTTGGTACTTACAGTACACCGTGAAAAGGAGAACTAGCAGTTGAGTTCCTCATTGATCACGGGCGCGTTGCTTTAATTCAGGAACCATCCTTTGATTCACGAACCTCCAAGACTGATTTTACATTATATCTTATCCCATACCTGTGTTAAAAGCGGCTTTCCGATTGGTTTAGACCAGGTGAGCTTTTCTCGAGCTCACCCGCCTTTCGCCGAACTCACCCGCGAAACTGCTTACGTTGCCGTCCGCGTCAATAACAATGGCGGACAAAATTTCGCCGATAAACCTAAACTTTTGGTGACTAATCTAGTGAGACTGAAGAGAAACCAAAGAAAGAATGCAATAAAGGTAATTTAGACGTAGATAAAGAGTATTAAGATGCCAGTGAATTTTTCGGGCCAGAAAATGTTGACAAAACATCGATGAATATATCGCAAATAGCTGCAATGTGTATGGGATAAAAAACAAACATACTTGCAGGTTTGGTTAATCCGGGATCCCGGAATCACTTCCCTGATGTTTGTTATAGAACCTGACAGAATACATCACAACATAGTGTAACGGTATACATTATATATTTCAGAATTTAATGATTCTATAATGGTGGATTACAATTTTTAAACTTCTAATTGCAACACCGCGGAAAGACATCTGCGCATGCGTCACGCTTACTGAAATGTTGCGAACGTGGTGTCAAGAACACCGCGGAAAAACGTCTGCGCATGCGTCAACCTTACCTGTAATAGTATTGCGAACTTGATGAGAAGCTGTTCCGCACGTTTCCGAAGGCTCAAAATGGCGGTAAAAAGGAGTGACTTCATTGTGCGTCTTTACAGCCAGATTTCAAGCGCAAAAATAAACATGTCATTCTAAAAAATAGAAATAAATACAGCCAGAAGGTTCAAGAAATTGTATTGTACAAGAACATGAACTAAAGGTGATTGTTGACAAATTTATCGTCTGAAACATTTTGTTTACCAACTAAGCAATGACAATTTCCGAATTTTCGTTTGAGATACATTTCTTTAAAAAAAACTGCGTCGCCAAATATAAAAAATTTGCGTGTTCACAGTAATTAAACTTTAGGATTTATTCTACAATTTGAGTGGGTTAAGAAGCTTAACTTCTCGAGAGTTTTCTTAACTTTTTAGTTTGAATTTTTGTTTTGAATAATTTTGCAAAAATTTTCGAAGTCGTGTTCGTCAAAATCAACAATTTTTGACATGAATTATATTTCATTCCATACTTTAAATGCCAGGACGCTTTCAATTAATGTATAGTCTACCCATTTGCTATATTTTCTCGTTTGTTTTACTAATTTTTGACCAATTAATAAGCATGTTTTTGTTTTTCCGCGGTGTTGGTGTCAAGTGTTCCGAAGGTTATCAAAAACTCAAAATGGAAGCGAAAAGGAGCGACTTCAATTTTCTCCGGCCCGGAAGAATTTTACGGCAATTACTGATTTTCAAACGAGTTGTTCTCCTGCAGGTTTTAACGAATTTTTCTTAACTGATTTTCACAGGACATAGCTAAAGACGTCAGTTTCAAAAATGTGTCGGCTTGTTTCTAATTTTGGATATTTTAAAAATAAGAAGCAAATTCACTCAAACGATTCGGAAACTATATATTCCAGTCGTCAAATAAATAGCCGTATCGACGGAATGACGAAATAAACAAAAATTTCCAAAAGCTATTTTTTAGAACAACTATTTTACTGCATAAAAATGATATCTTCATAATATCTTAAAACCACCAGGAAAACAACTCAAAAGCGCCAAGGTATCGCGATTTAAAATTTTCCTGAATAATTTTTACATTATTTTCTTGTTTGTCAATTTAACAACCTTATCATATTTTGCATGCACTGACGAACATTCGGTGAAAATGTAATGAAAATCGGACTGATATTGAGCGCGCGGTAGCGATTTTCTGCAAAACGCCAAAAAGGGTGTTCTGTAACTTTAACTGAATCGTACAAAGATATGTTTCGTAGGTTTGTATGATCCACATTTTCTCAATACTTTTTTTGCGGAGCATGTATAATTTTTGCGTTGACTATATTTAAAAGTATAATGATTTACTCTACAATTTAATCGTGGGCGAATGTTTAACTGTTTGATAGTTTTCTTAATTTTTCTGTCTTAAGTTCGGTGTTCCACATTTTTTTAAAAAATGTTCACACGTTCTTCCTTTTAGATTTTAAATAGAAATATAATTTATTAATGTCTAAACTACGCGTCTTGTCTAATTTTTTGTTTGTTTCACTTGCCTTAATACACAATTAAATAGCCAATGTTTGGCATTTAAATTCCTCGCCATTTTTTTCTAGTGCACGCGCATGCGCAGACGTTTTTCCGCTGTGTTGCTAATCACCATTTTAAACAAAAACTTTAAAACTGATCGTGTTACCATGGACTATGATGGATATGAGTTAAATTAATAGGTGTAAACCTGATTTTAAGTTTAATCCCGATTATTTGGCAGCTAATGTTACTTAACCGTGTTCTCCAGACATTGAACACATGCAATCAATGCGCATGAGTGGAAGTCACTCTTCAAGATTAAACGTTAAATCTTCGAGATTAATAAACCTTAAAAAAATGGTTGTTGTTGAAGCCACTTCAAAACTCGCATTAGCTACGTGTTTGACCGGGTCTAAAATGATCTGGCTGCGTCATATATCGTATTCAGTTGAACCGGGTACACACGTCAATATATATATTCCGGGTTATTATGTATACGAAAATTTAATTTAGCCTTTCCTGTACCGAAATTTGATAACTTTTATTTGCAACTCAATTTAATTTAAAAGATATTAGTATGCACTCAAGCAGGCTTTATACCAAATGCAGCATTCTGATTGGCTATTCAATCAGAGACCATTACGTAACGAACCACGACTGAGAAAAAGATGGCAGAAAAGGTTTCGGGGGAATTTTGTAAAAAATTCCTTCCCAGCCAGAATAACCAGAAAGACTGCAAAATATGGTATGAAGGCATTTAATTAAATCGGATTTTAATAATAAATCTGCTGTTATATACTTGCCACAAAATGTGACAAGAAGATGGACGGAATAGCTAAAGCCTATAAGCGCATTTTTTGTGCATATTACAAGCAAACCCGTTGACATTACAGCTGCTTGTAGTTCCAGGCCCATAGCTGGGGGGGCTGGGGGGTGCCACTCGGTGGGATAGTGCCCCCCAGTGCCCCCCCCACTCGGAAATCGGGTATGAAAAATTGAGATAAAGGGCCTGGGAACCAATTGTAATAATGGAAAAATTCTGTAAATTTTGTGGAAAATTTTGTGATTTTTAAAAAATTTTGTTAGATTTTGGAAAAATGGAGTATGTCCGGAAAAATTGTTATGTCCGGACAAATTTTTTGACCCCTAAAATGGTACACTGACCGAAATTTTTTTGGCGACGGGGGGGTGGGAGGTCGCCAGAATAAATTCCGGAAAAAATTTTTTTTCATCTCAAACGTTTGGTTACATTCTTTCTGGAGTGAGTGCCCCCCAGAAATTGAGAGCCAGCTACGGGCTTGTTGTAGTTACTTAATAATCATATGTTTTCCTATAGGCTTCATAGAACGCATTTGTGTCCGGCGTATGTATTCACTGGGTAGGAGATTTATCCATTGGATAAGATCTACTGAGTACTGGAAAACTTAATCCACCTGTCGTACAACCTGTTCCATGAACATTTTCATAGAATAATCCCTCAAATTACATATCATTAATATGCTTCTGTAGATATCAACATGTTTTCAAGATACTTCTTGCTGTTTGCCCTACAATGCAATGTTATAGCGAGCAGGCAATGTTTTTCTGAAAATCCCAAACGTGGAGGTACAGTATTTAAATCGAGTCTATTCAGTGCATGCTAGACATATACCTTTCTTTAACCTCTCCATTGGGGAAACTAAGTTTGCACTATATATATATTAGAATGTTGTTTTCATGGTGTTTGCATAAAAGTTGTGAAAATAAATTTCAACATTATTTTGTTCTCTAGCTTTGATTAGCTCTTCGCAGCTAACGAAAAATTGTTTCGTAGACAGCCGAATAGCTAGGCGTGATAAGTATTTGACTAAAGTATTCAAAGTTTTAATATATCACAGTTTAGAAAAATTAAACTCTAAGCGCGCAAAGCTTAATGGGAGCACAAGATTCCAGCTGATAAAGTAGTTGAATATTGCAGCTATTTGTAGTAAGGAGATATTTACCTGGTGACACCCCAATCTTCATTATGAATATTACTGTATCTATGATTCAATCTCCTTGCATTCGCTTGTATTTCACAGTGATATCTATAGGTATATAGGAGCTAAAAAATGTAGATCGGTAACTAGATTAAACCTTTTGATCTTCGTTTCGACGGTTTTAGAACTTCATCCGTCTGTTGAACTTGAGGTGATAACCAAAGAAGTGTATCCTCAAAAGAATGGCTCCCATGTAACGGTACAATGCAAAGCTACGGCACCAGGCGTCAACTCAAAAATACATAACCCAATTCTCCTAAATCCTTCTATCATATCTTTCTACTTCCATAAAAAGCACGTTCCAGTGAACAACTGTCGGCCATCATCAGGAAGTACACAAAAGATATGTGAATTGATCATTCCAAAATTTGGAGAAAAGGATGCAGGGAAGTATTATTGTATGGCCAGAAATGGATTTCGCTGCACAACAATAGGAATCGACATTCCGTCCCATCCGTACCAAGGTATTGCAGATTTTAAATATTTGTAAACGTTGACCGAGCTCCGTGATTATTTTGGTTGCAATAGTACTGTGGAACCTACATAAATTAAACAACAGGTTTGTAGCTATAGTGTTTAAGACCCCCCTCCCCCTCCCCGCAATATTTGTTCATGGTTAATCATTTTCAGGGAAATTGAGATGTGACTTGAGCTGATTTTCATTTACAATTATAATAAGAGCATTCACAGGCAAGTTAAAAGTAAACCCAAGCTAAGAATGCAACAAAATGTTCCAAATGTTCTCGCGGAAGCACCTCCCGGCCAACTGCCTCCAAGTAAATTTACCTCCATATCCTTAATGATAATATATTCTTCCGAATCAAGAAAACCTACTACTCACAAAAAGGAACACTAAATGCCGGTCACTCGAAACTGCTCGGCTAGACATTCACTTGAATCAATGTTTTGTAAACAAAATGGCTGAAACTCCCAGTAGGGGTACAAAGGATTTACCGATTTGTACAACTCGTAAAGAATTAAAAACTCTTCCTCGTCCAGATATTCATCACTGACCATTACAATACTAGCCCAATGCTCTGCCAACTGAGCAACCCACCGTGGCCAGGCATATTTTTCAAGCTTTCCCGGTGTGGACATACACTCAGAGCAACGTCACAAGCATCATGTTCACCTGAGTACATTACACCAACACAGAGAAAAGACAAAATCACTTCCCTATGTTAAGCAAACACCTAACCTTCCTTATATAGTCGTATACCTCTCCAAGGTGAACTCAAATAATTCATTCCAATGCGAATAAAGGTGTCCACTTAATAGAGATCCAACTGTTTTCCATTTCTATCCAAGTTAGCAATATGTTCTCAAAGATGTACAACAAAATGAAAAACTGAAATCTAGACGTCCATGCCATAGACGGTTGTCCTATGAAATTCAAAACGCACGTTCTCAATCCATATTAGGTTTCAAAGTTGTGGACTAAAAAGGCAGCATTGCATGTGTTAAATATTTATTTCTAAATAACTGCGCGATTTAACTTAATTCGTCTGCATACATGATCAATATTCCAGCTGCTATATAGACAAATTGCATCGATAGAAATTCGATTCCCATGCAGTATCCGCTAAACTGCCCGGAATTTATGCCTGTTAAATACCCAAGCTTAGCTGCCTGCATGGTCTTAATGAGAAAAACATCGATCGAAACATTTAAGGCCGTGTTACACTCTGCAATTTTTCTTGCAACTTGCAATGCAATTCTATTCTTGAGAGATGTTAATTAGTGAAATCTGTGAAGAATTTTTGATATGTTGAGAAAACATCAGCAGAGTGTAACGAAGCTCGTATTTGACAATTTTACATCTCTCAAGAGTGGAATTGCATTGCAAATTGCAAGAAAGGTTGCACCGTGTAACATGGTCTTTAGTGATACATAACTTTAGAAAGTTACAAGCATATAACTGAGCACACCCTTTTACATTCTAATTAGCTCCAAGAAAAAATGAAAAAAAGACGCTGGATTCTTTCCATTACAATGTCATGGTGAGTGTTTTACATTAAAGGGTAATCGCAATAAAAAATTTTATTGCTTTATCTGAAAGAGCATGAAAAAATAAGCCGGTTGGCCGTTTACTGCTCTATTCTATCTCATCTGGTTCCGAAGTTATACGCAGAAATGTGCAAAATATAAATTGCTGATTCAGCACAACGTGCGACGTCATTGGTAGGGTAAGTATGTTTAATAAATAGTAAACTGAAGCATAGCTCAGTTATTATTGGCTCAAATCAAATGACATTTTGCATACAGATAGTACATGATGAGACGCATGGGAAAGTACTTCTAATTTTGTTGTCAAGGCAACGCAGTCGTTCCCAGGCCCCTTACACTGATTTTGAATAACTAGTTGCATTTATCTATGTGTATGTCATTTTCGAATTATTATCATGCAAGTAAACTTTTGGCATGCATAGGTATGGTAC